CGTGTTGACAAACTCAATTTATTCTTTACCGCCGAGTACTCTATGTGGTAAATCAAATTTTAAAAGAGCTATTAACAATTGCATGTTTTGGCGAGAGTCAAACTTTATTTTTTGCTTACTGTGCAGGCACTGATTTATAAGTTCTCTTACGTTTTATATAATGTATCAATCGCGTCAATTAATCTCTTTTATTTTTAGAATTGATGATGTTAGCAGCGCCATCTCTCTTTAAATATAAACATATAATAAAAATGATGATAACATGTTGTGTCTCTTTCTGTACATTGTATATATATTTTGGTGGCTAAAATCATTATGGGGAACTGAAAATAATTAAATAAGAACATTTTATAATTTTTAGAATTGTCTGTCTGTCTATTTGTCGCATGAACGCATCACGTCTAAAGTAAACATCTTTTATTTTCAAACAAATCGTTAAGAATATCATAAAGCGTATCTTCGAGTTACATTTAATCTTTGTTTTATTAAAATTGGTGAATTCTATCGAAAGTAATTTTTGAAAACATTAATTTTGAAATGTAGGTTCGAATTTGTTCAATGGCGCCATAAAATCTCAGAAATAGTAATAAAAAGATTTCTGTGTAAAAAAAAAACGTTCCATAATAATTAATATATTTATACTTAAAACACAAAAAGAGATAGGATGTTTTCTCACACAAAGGACGTAATAGATGGAGTTGTACAAATTACAAATTTTTCTGAATTGCGGTGTTGAGATTTTTCGCCGATGAATCGTATTGAGACTTACTGAAGAAATTTGTATCCATCGAAGCCATACAACGGAACCCGACCAAAAATAAAAATTTTGCAACGAAATGTCGTGATATTGTATTTAAAATATACGCAAAATCAGAACTGCCATTTTAGCGCTTCGGGAACTAGATTTAGCACTTTTTTGGAATGTAAAGCGCGCATTTCGAAATTTTAGCACCTAGCGCTTAATCCAGCGCTTTTTGGTGTATTTAGCACACATTTCAATATTTTAGCGACTAGCGGGTAACTCTTTTATAGCAGCACTGTTAGTCCACATTACCGATAATAATAATAATGACCTTTATTATTTTTTCCCACAAATAGTACATTGCAGTTTATCTTTTTCAAACATATTTTTTCCACAAAACAAAGAGCATGGGAGACGAGTCCAAACTAGGATACCCTGTGCTATGGATCTCCTGGCTTCCCCTTTAGGATGATCAACTTGATTTTTTTACCGACGACTATAAGCGGGGAAATCCCCTTTATTAAAGTTTTCGTTCATGGTTTTGGCAACGCATTTATTTTGCTTTATTCAGTTTCAGTCAGTTGTTTAGAGCACAGCTAAGTTAAAAGTTACTTAGAAGTTATAACACAAAGAAACTGTGTAGCAACCGCAATCAGATGCTGACATCTGAAACTAAGTTGCGAAATACATTGCACTTTAAAACAATTAATGACATTTTTATTGTTCGTACAATACTAACTACTGTTGACAGCAATTGCTATAATTATAAGTCGATGTCCTGCGAAGTATTGATACATAAAAAAAATATTGCCAGAAAAAAAACTTAATGTTGTTTTCTTTATTATGATTATATAAAAAAACACAAACTTTGTTTGTAGTTAATTTAGCGCGAAAACTAGGGCTTTTTTAAAGCGCTGTTTTCATGAAATCTAGCGCTTTTTGTGTTGTCCTAGAGCTGAATGAGTTTTTTTTATCTGGCAGCACTGCCCAAAAACCCTCTATTAAGAAGTAACTTTCCTTTCAGTTTTAAGCGCGTTCAGTTCCCAGTTACAGTGAGTGTGTGTTATGCGATGACCGTAAATAAAGCGCAAGGTCAAACTTTACGCGTTGTAGGAGTGTACCTCAGTACCACAGAACACCTAATATCTATATTAAGTGTTCTGTGCTCAGTACTGACTGTTTTGCACATGGCCAACTCTATGTTGCTTTTTCCCGCGTTAGTAGCCCCCGTAACCTTTTTGTGTATACCCCGGCTAAGCCTACTTCTAACGTCGTTTACACAGAAGCTCTATCATAAACGACTTAGAACTTTGATGATAATGATTTATTTTGTTACCACTTATTGATACAGTAATGAAATAAATCGTTTAATATTCTCTTACCTAAACGACAAATTCTTTATGTAAAACCTGTATACGCGAGCTACGCCGCGGGCACAGCTAGTTTATAATACGATCGTTGCTGAAAGATGAAAAAATATGAGGGAGTACGTCACAAGGCAGTCGCGTTGATGCAATGAATATATCGTGCATGTGTCTAAAAACCTCGGGAATTAAACAGGAGCAGCCGTACAAAGATGGGTGCAAGCGCGGTAAGGGAGAGGGGGGACATTACAAAACTTGGTTTTAACCGGTTAATTCTTACTACCTAAACCAAAATTTGTGAAAAACCGGTATTCCGCAAAAACCGGTTTTGGGGTCATGACCGAAACCGGTTTAGAATTTCAACCGGTTTCCGAGCCCTGGTTTAAATTTATTTCTGTATAAGGTTTATTTATTTTTGCTTGAAACAGTTCGAAACCGTACATGCATAAAAAAAGTTCGCTAATAGTCTTTTGTCAATCCGCCGCCGTTTTTTTTTCCTTTTGAAACACTTGTTTTGCTATTCTTACTAATTAGAGGTTTTCAGATCGACTTTACTTTTACATTTGTATAACATTAAATAATTTTTAACATTTGTAAATAGTAATGAATCATAAACCTTATTTTTTTCCAAATTAAGGGTTCTTGATTGTTTGATATTTACAAATGTTATTAATTTAATTTAATAAAAACCAAGGTTTTCCAGGGTGATTTAGCTGTACCTACTTATATAATTTTTTTATAAAACAAAAAATAGTACAAAGGGTGTGTAATCTCTGCATAAAAAAGGTCACTTACTCTCAATTTCAAAGAAAACACGTATTTACCCACTAAAAACAAGTATCCTTCCGTTTGTAACTGATGTTTGATGTCAGCTAAACTTAATTAGGTATAAACAAGTGAAAAAGGCATAAAAAAGAAAATTATTTTTACACATGGCTGATGGCACAATAGGCGTGTCATCAACTTCTGTGGCGAACAAATATTTCATCGCGAAATATTTGTTCGCCGCCACAGCTAAAAGTTGTGGACAATCGGTGCCGCAACGAATCGGTTAAGTTTAGCTGACATCAAACATCACCAGAGTATCAGTTTCAAATATCTTATTAATTTTTTAAATTTTAAAATGTCTGACGTATTAAAACATAAATCACACTAATCGTATAAATAAAATAAAATGGTGTTATCGTAAGAATACACTTCCAAAAAATTAGTCATCCAATTAGCAGACGACTAGATCTTCGAAATAATTATAGAATACAGAATTCTAAATAGAATATATCAAGTGATAATTAATGCAAATCTACATAATTACAGCAAGTGTAGCTACTTTTCCTTGGTTATCTTAATAACTCATCGGTCGTAGTTCAATGAACTTCATTACGCACAACAAAAACTTCAGCTATAGCTTCCATTATAAGGTTTTTACCTCTCACATCGACTTGTACAGTTTTTTGCTTAATCACGAATATTACACAATAGTAAAGCGAGTTCTTATAAGAATACTTGGTATTATGGGATCGGAAATCAAAGAATTTTCACACAGGTAAAAAGAACTTTATTTCATGAGTGTAGGAAAGTACTAATAATTTAGTAATGTAAGAAAAATAACATTTGAAAAAAATTGTACAATTTTTTAAATATAAAATAATAAAGTAGGTATGTTTCAAAATACACAATTCTCTTGGGGCTTCGGAACCTGCATATCATTTCTCAACAATCTAGTACAATATATTATTATGTTTTAATTGCACAAAGTTTCGTTTTTGATTAGTTAATTTAGTCATAGGTAATACCATCTCGCATCAAATAGTAAGATAACAATGTTTCAAATAGTATACATAATTGTACGCAATCTAAAACGATGCCGATCCCCGCGGCTTGCGGCTAAATAAAAATACAAATTTCAAAGTCACCCGCCGCCCGGAGCCGGCCCGATGGTATACAAAAATGAACAGTTCCGCTAGGAACCGATAAAATATATATTAATTCAATAATAAAAATATCACATCTTTGATCCATGATATTTTGCAGTTGCATTCGCGTCACCCCCGAAGACGATTACAAGATAAATAACACTGAGTGGTACACGGACAAGACACTTGAGCCTCGTGACGCTCGATACATACACTACGGTGTGGCCACGAGGTCGGCGATGCTCGTGCGCCGCCCAAGCCTCGATTCGTCGACGCTGAGCTCGGGGTCCGACACGAACTCCGAGCTCAGGGTCGGTTATACAGTTTATCCTACCTAAAACAGCCACCTTAGAGTGGGTAGTCGGAAACGCATGTTCAATCTATCCATGAATAGTCTGAATTCGTATATTATTTTTCTTCCGATTTTCTCTCACAGCTATGTGGTCATTTTTAGAAACATGATCGCAACTGGCCTAAGATACTCAGTAGACATTAGCATACTTATGAAAAATACACAAATTCTCGTTTGAAAGGTCAAAGCTGTTTAATAACCTATCATTCGATGTGACATTTAAGTCATTCTAGAGATCTTATGATGACAGAAATGTATTATTGGGGTTAATTTCAATTACAGTTTAAAGGAGTAAGTATTTAAATAAATTACAGTAATATCATTAACACTGTTTAAATTCTTTTATTGAACCAGAATCTACTAACAAGTATATTTGTGGTTATTAACAATTATGTTATTAATAAGTGTATGAGTATATTTACTGTTAACTGTACTTGAGTGAAAAATCGGAAGAACAATCCAAAGTGAATTCAGTTTATCCACCAGGTCTATGGGGGATTAGATGAACACGCATTTACAAGTATTCAGCCTAGGATGGCTGTTTTAGGGTGGGTAAACGGAATAACCGCTCAGGACCTGATGTCGAAGCTCGAGGCTTGCAACGACGCACCAGCTTGTTCCCGATACGCTCAAGCTTGGCTCTCGTTGGTGGTGGCGGCTTCGACCGTGGCCTTGGGCTTGGGCTTGGCCTGGTCAGCTGCTGGAGACGCCTCATCCCCACGGGCCGCCTGCTGGAAACCACCGCGTGCTCTTGCACGCCTGAAGCCACCGCGGTTCATAGGCCCTGGGCCACCACCACGTCGCCCACCGCGGAAGTTGCGCCGGAAGTAGCTGTGAGCACACAAACAACGGCCTATGTTTAGCACTTTTTTCTACAGAATAGGGGTTACAAACAAGCACAGTGACAGTGATGGAAGTATATGCTGTGGCCTATAAACATCTATCTGCATTTATCCTCAATTAAGAATTAAAATGCAGATGTGTGTTTGTTGACCTTGTTTCCAAGAATAGAATAGAATAGAATAGAATAGAATGATTTTTATTCAATATGGATTATTACATAATACTTATTGAAAGTCATTATTTTATTTACCACTGGTTCGGAAAATACCTCTGTCCTGGGAAGAACCAGCAAGAAACCCAGCGGGACTTTTTTTTTAAACATAATTTCACTTAACAATAATTTTGATTATACAATTTTAAATGAATTTTCATAGAACCAGCATGGTGGCGATCACCTTATTCCCAGGGGTTATTTTCACTCATGTATTCCTTGATATTATAATAACCCTTTTTGTACAGTTTTTCTTTAATAAAACTTTTAAACTTGTTTATTGACAAACTTTGAACATGTTCTGGGATTCTGTTGTAAAAGCGTATACATTGCCCCATAAATGAATTACTAATTCTGTGGAGTCTTGTAAGTGGCATTACAAGCTTATGTTTGTTCCTAGTGTTTAAGGTATGAACATCCTTATTCTTATTAAAGCTATTTATGTTTTTATGTACATACATTACATTTTCATAAATATATTGCGATGCCAAAGTTAATATGTTTATTTCTTTAAATTTTTCTCTAAGGGACTCTTTACAATTTAGATTATAAATCGCCCGTACGGCTCTCTTTTGCAAAACAAATATAGCTTCAATATCAGTCGCATTACCCCATAGCAAAATTCCATAAGACATTACGCTATGAAAGTAACTAAAATACACTAACCTAGCTGTCTCAACATCTGTGAGACTTCTAATCTTTCTTACAGCATATGCTGCAGAACTAAGTCTGCTTGCTAATTTAGATATATGGGGGCCCCATTGAAGTTTCGCGTCAATAGTAATACCGAGAAAAACAGTGGTATCCACAAGACTCAACTCCTCCCCATTTAAGAGCACATTGGTTTTCGAATGTTTTACATTAGGTATTGTAAATTTAATACATTTTGTCTTATTGCCGTTTAAGAGCAAATTGTTGGCGTTAAACCAATGTACTAGTTTCGATAGAGCATTATTTACATCGTCATATTTAATTGACTGCCGTTTCAGTTTGAAAATTAAAGAGGTATCGTCAGCAAATAATACTATATCGTGATTGTCCCCTACAAGATAAGGTAAGTCATTAATATAGATTAAGAACAGGAATGGGCCAAGAATCGAGCCCTGAGGAACGCCCATTGATACTACCGATCCGGAGGAACATTTACCATTAATGACGACTTTTTGAGTTCTGTTACTTAAATATGAAGTAATAAGTTTAAGCGCCAAATTTTTTACACCGTAATGTTGTAGTTTCCTGATTAATGTATCATGATGAACACAATCGAAAGCCTTGGAAAGGTCACAGAAAATACCTAAGGCATCTTGTGAATTCTCCCAGGCATTAAAAATATATTTCTTAAGCTCAACACCGGCGTCAGACGTCGAGCGACCCCTTGTAAAACCAAATTGATTTTTATGAAGTAATTTATTTGTATTAAAAAAAATTAACAATTGATCCAAAATTATTTTTTCAAAAATTTTACTGAGAGTTGGTAGTACAGAAATAGGTCTATAATTAGCGGGGTCCAATGTACTACCAGATTTAAATAAAGGTATTACTTTACTATACTTCATTAAATCAGGAAACACACCAGAATCGATACAAGTATTAAAAATAATAGCAAGATGAGGTGCAATTAAATCTATTATGGACGCAATCACTGTAACGGAAATCCCCCACAAATCTGCGGTTTTCTTTACATCAATGGTTTTGAAGTATTTTACAATATTATGCGGTAATACTTTTTCAAATCTAAATTCTTTTAAACAGGTATTAACATTCTGTTTAAGTAATGATTCGGCGACAGTTGGAGAAGCATTCAATGACTCTGTTGTCAAGATAGGAACATCAGTGAAATATTTCTCAAACACCGCTGCAACTTCTTGATTTGATTTAGTCAATTCATTATTAATTTTTAATTGATAGTTTGAATTACGAGGTTTCTCTTTACCGGTTTCGCTGTTAATTATACTCCACGTCATTTTAATTTTATTCTTAGCTGTCTTAATTTTGTTACTAATATGTAATGATTTGGCTGTGGAGCAAACTCTTTTAAACATTTTAGAATAATTTTTTACATATTCTTTAAAAGCATCGGAAAGATTATACGATTATACGAAGAAAAAGGGTCTCCAGTTCTCTACACTCACCATACAAAACAGAGCAGTACTAAGCTACAATTTTACGCTGGTATTTTGTAAGAGTGTAGTCTACCTTGGTCAAGTCAACTCATTCTTGCTACAACCATAATATATTATTTGCAGCATGACTACCACATTTGAGGTTATGTTTCAAATGACCCCATGTACCTCTCCCTTCATCCCTTTATTTCCAAATCAAATACGCCCACCACTTCAGACATGAGAAAGTTAATACAATCGAGCACTTGTGTCAGTGCACACACAAAACTCATGTGCGCTTAAGTTTTCAACATCATTACATCAGTGTTTCTCTTTATGGAAATGTTTGCAAAAGGAGTTCAAACATAATATACTAAACTAGCTTCATCGACTTCAATGTTTCTTTGGATACGTGATGTCCATAGAATACATACACAATAGAACGGGAGTGGGCGGTGCCCATGCAGCAACTAACATGTCAATTCCCACCTATAAATGTCAACAAATCTCTTTTGACGTCACAGTTGTTGCCCAATTTTTGTGTCATGCGTTGCTGTATGCAATTTATTTCATAAATGCCGATTTGTGCAATGATAATGTGTGGGGAAACCAGACAGATGTGAAATTTGAATAAAAGTGGTATATCATTTCACCAGTAAGACGAAACTATTTATATTTTGTGAATATTAGAATCAAAAATAAAGAAATATTTATGTGTAAAAACAACACTACTAGGGATGTAACAAAATTTTACTGATACTGGTAAACTGGGAAATATTGTTGTCTTTAAACTTGTACTTGGTGTAATGGCAAGTGGCAATTGCAGTTATACCAAGTTGGCAATACGGTGAAAAATAGTAATTTAATGACCTATGAATAAATAGTTATAACATTTTTTTTATTAAATTGTAACTTTGTTTCCTCTATAGATATCATTGAAAATGTTCAATAACGTTTTTAGATTTAATCTTCTGGTTACTTATCATTACTACATACTGTATGTTTACTTCACGCCCAATCACCCAAAATGATGACCCATTTTGTATTAAAGCAGAGATTAAAATATATAGGTATACTATAGAGTAGACATTGGGAACATACAAAAACTTTGAGCTAGAGCATGTGTGGCACCCTCTAGCTAAAAATAGCAAAACAACGCTTTACATTTTGCAACATTTATTAAGACAACATTTTAGCTATTCCCCAGTAGGTGACGCTAATAAATATAACCTCGTTTTAGGAATGTTACAGTTTCGATACCAAAGTATCGATAATGTCGTTGAAGATTACTAAGTTTGAAATGCTTTTCCATGTAATAATAGGGAATATACATGATTGTTTTATTGTATAAATCTATTTATCATGACTTCCATCACACGAAAAAAATCATATTAACTTTTTATGCCCCTTTAGTGTCATGAAATAAAATATTTAATTTCCAATAACTAAGAATCAATTCAAACAGCAATCACTTTGGTTGCCACCTTGGTGGCATGACATCACTCGAGCGGCCTTAAAGATACATCGAGAAACGCCAAATCCAATAAGGGAAGCGCCTCTGTTTTTAAATTCGTTTCTATTAAAAAAAAATACACTTCAAATCTAAGACATTTTAGGAAAATACTGAACTTAGAAGCCGTTTCACTATTTTTCACGTTTCATCAGCTGCAGTACTTAAGACACTACCCACATCAATAAAAATTGTTATTTTAAGTTTTTACCTTATTTTCTAACTCAGGCTTAACCTACAACTTCTTGCATCTAATATCTTTAACAGTACAAATTCTAATGTAAGAAATCTATTGCCCTCTCCTATCACTGTAAGCGAGGATCTGTAATGGCTTTGTCCTTGAAAACCACCAGACAATGAAGCCCGGTGTAAAATCACCAGACAATAAAGCCTGGTATGTAAAAGAGAAGACTTGCTGTATTGCTAAACATCAACACAGCAAGTATCCTCAGCATGCTCATAAGCAACACAGAAAATCTCATTAGCATGCCTAAAAAAAAATTCCCACCCTTGCTCCACATAAAGTACTAGTTACTACCACCTACTTAGCATAGTTGGTATATGCTACTCATTCATTTTTGTTGGTATGGGTACAGTATCGTTGACTGTTTTACCTCCTTAAATATTGTAAAGGATTAAATCTGCATCCTGTATATTTTTTTATCGATAATCCCAATCGATAAACGTCGTCAATCACTAACTTTATAAATTGGTAACTAAATAGTGACGTTTACTGGATAACAGAGGGCGCTTATTACAATAAAAATAAATGTTCTAGAACAATCTACTAGAAATAATAAAATTTAAAGATTATTCAGTAAACATATATTTACGATAATAAACCGAAATCACGTTAATTTTTTGCTCCAATTCGTGACTTACAATAACTTAATGCACAACCGGGCATATTGTCTTTAAAAATATTTTTTAAGTATATGAAACGAATACGTCTTGACTTTTTGACGATGTCACTAAGATTAAATGACATAAATCGGAGATATATCCTATAGGACATAAGTTACAGATGACAATTTGGCTACTGATGTTGCTCGTTGCTCGAAACAATGAGGCTTCAGATGACAGCACTGAAGAAAAAGAAGATCTAAGCTCAAAACATGGTAATCACTCATAGGCTGTTTCTCATAACTGTTTCCAGAGATTATATTTAACCAAAGGGAATATCCTATAAGAAATCATACGTAAAATATATATAAGTTCTTGTTGAAAATTGGAGTTGCTAAAAATACCAAACGACAATTATTGTTAAATAAATATATTTTTTCCACTGTTAATGAAAAAACTTTTTAAAATTAATGTATAGAAAACATGCTATGAAAATTTTCGGCAAATTACTAAATTGTTTAATGATTTAGATTGTATGATATGTTTAATTGTTACTGCCTGGTTGAATTTCTAAATGTTACTGTTACATAAACTTTTTAATAAATTTTATGAATCTGTAAATAATATTACGGTGGAACTTGCTCAAGTTTTACAGAGTTACCAGCAGTTAATCACTAAACAAGACTAGTTTGCTTAAACGCTCAGACTAATATGATGCCACGCATCTTAAACATGTTCAACAACTTTTTATTTTATATACAATAATAAATAAATAATATTTACTGTGATTGTATTTGCAATTAGTTTGCACACTATTTACAATTAAATATGTAAAAGTATTAAAATTTAAATGATTTCTTTTTTAATGATAATTGTGAATATCGATCTAGTCTAAAATGTGCAAATTCGCTTAGTATATATATCAACACAGTTATGCATTTTCTTTCTTTTCAGAAAAAAGACGTCTGTAAAGATACTGAAAGAGATTTATTTATTGAAATTTGTATGACCAATGAGCGCATTGAGTTTGTAGTAAAGATAATACGACGCAACCGTATGTTGTATGTGTGCTCCCGGCGACGCAGTTTCTTATAGAAAATAAGGTACATGCAATTCTATTGCGTATTATAATACTCTATAGTGATATTAAAATGTCTTCTCTTAATAGTCTCATTTGACACAATTTGAAAAATACCGAAAGATAACTGTAATTAACTTTCATAGATTGCATAGTAACCATTTTTAATTAAGTATAATTTCCATTAGAATTAAACGAATGAAAGATTCACGTCAATCTAATGGTTGTTTAAAAGTTGACTCTGGTACATTAGTCACGCCTCTGTATTAGGAGAATGATGTAATCGCGCCGGGTGTATTTGCGTTTTACAATAGTAATATTGTTGTGGCATAAGCCTAGCATCTAGTTCAATGCACAACACAAGGCTGCATGCAATTCAATGTATTTTTTTTAAATATACGTGACAAATTAATCCACTTGATGGTATGTGGCTACTTCAGTGTTCAGTTCACCTCAGTGTGGTCACCTCTGAGGACTAAGAGTGTCAGAGCCTGTCATTATAGCTGCACCATTGCGTAACAGGTAGCGTGGATAACTGGTCGGACTAGGCCAAATGGTCATTTAGTATTCCATAAATAACACACACTAAGTTGGAAAAATATCAGTAAGCCACAAACACTTGCATTATACTATGTTACATACAGATTGTAAATTGGATGGACAAAATAATTTATTGCATTGCAATATGCCTCTACCAGCTGAGAACAGAGAATAAAAAATAAAACCAATGTAATTACAGTGCACATTAGAAATAATGTACCAAGTACATGCAGATATTGCTTGCTTACCTTCGCTGTGGTGGTGCCCCCCCTTCTTGCCCTTCATCCCCCTGCGCGCCCCCCTGGATGGCTAAGGGCCCGCGACGTCCCATGCCTCCCCTACGTGGAGCGCCCTCACCGCCGCGTCCGCCGCCTTGACGGGGGTAGTATCTGTTGCACAACATTTATTACTACCATCCCCTACTGAATATGTTACAAGAAAACAGACCATGAAATATTTGTAATTTATTCTAGATGTCAAGTCTCAATGCGAATAAATTCACAAATTAAACAAATATAAATAGAAAGTTATAATTATACTATAACTTTTTTTTAACTTACTAGAATATAATATTTTTTATCCAATATAGATTATTACATGTAATTCTTATTGAAAGTAATTTTTCACTTTTACCACTGGTTTCGACCCAGCAGGATCAGTTCTCAAAGTAAATTATACAATAAGAAAGATTGTTTACAAAGTTTACTTTAGAAAAATATTTAAGCATTCACAAGTACTCTCACAGTAGTCCCATATAATTCTCAATCAGGTCTGATGATAATTGAACTCTAATAGTTGCCATGCTTGGCAAGGGGGTTGGCAACTGCAGTTTTTTTATTTTTAGTCGTTATTAGGAAGATGCTGCTGCCCATCTGTTTTGTTTCCCTCTGTCACCTCTTACGACAGCCACGGGATGATATGGGGTAGTGGATATTCTTACATCGCCACTACACTGTAAAATTAAAATCCTAAGAGAAATGGAAACAAACTCTTTTATTCAATATAGATTATAAATAATACTTTTATTGACAATATTTGAACGAAAACCTTTTGCTATGATGATAATTGAACTGTGTTTATATTTTCTTGTCTAGTTATATTTTCTAATCCAAATGCAAACGAAAAATTACAATAGAGAAATCGTGTGTAACTACTCACTGGCGCGGGAAGCCGCGGCGTTTGTCAGCTGCATAAGGCGAGCCCTTTACCGGCTCGCCGCCGGGTCCGGTAACTCCAGAGGCTTCGTAGCCTTTCTCCCCGGCGACCACGGCAAACTCCACCGCCTCACCGTCGCCCACCGAGCGCACAGCCTTGCGCGGGTTGTTCCGAGCGATCGCTGTTTGATGCACGAACACATCCTCCTTGGTGTCGTTCCTACCGCATACAGAAACATCAGCTCTTGCTCTACTTCAAACACTCGCTTAAATTATATGACAGAATAGAATAGAAGAGATTAGCATCAGTTTTATTCAATACAAACTGTAACACTATTTCTTTTTCTTAATGGCTGTCTACATCGAGAAAATAGTATATATGCCAAATTTTAAGTCCAATCGGGCTTATAGTTTGGAGATCATGTGAGTGAGTCAGTGGAATTTCGCTTATATTCAATACAAGCTGTAAAATCCTATTTCCCCCTTCCAGGGGTTAAATTATCCAAAATAATAGTGGGTGTTTACGTCGAGAAAGTCAATCGGGCGTACAAATAAAAAAATAATTAAAAATATATTTAATATTAAATAAAAAGTTTTGGAGATCTCATGAAGAGTGAGTGAGTCAGTGGTATTTCGCTTATATATTTATAGATAACAAGACTACTTATAGAGTCATTTAAACTTGGTTCGAAAAAAATCCTCTGACCTGGGACAAAACAGCAAGAAACCCAGCATCACTTTTTTTTAATAATATAAAAACATTTAGAAACAGCATAGTAGCGATCACCTCATTTCCAAGGGATATTATCAATTGTGTACTAAGTAGTATAATATCCCTCATTGAACTTTTAATTTTTTAAAAAAATCTGTCAAAAGAATCTATTGTTTAGACCAATTAAGTGATTCTTACCACAATGAAACAAACTGAGAGAGTATGGCATGTTACGATGGGGCAATATGAAGAAATCTAAATTAGAAATTGTGTCAAAGGAAGGTCAAATATCTGAAAAAAAGTTAGTCAAGGAAGTTTTGAGAATTAAAAACATCTTACTTAAGCTATGAATCGAATCTGCTAAGGTTGAATATGTGTGTTTATCCCACTGAAGGAGGCTAATGGTTTTCGAAGATATGTATGTATGTATTTTTTTCTGGCACACTGTAGCCTAAACAGCTTGATGGGTTTTAACATAAGGGATGTGTGTATGTGTCACATTAGATTAGTCTTAGTTGTGGAAGTGACATAAGGATAAAAAATTCAGTAAATTTTTATGAGCAATTAGGTTTTTTAAATTACTGTTTGACAAGTTTTTCTTTTTGTTTGCTTATTCTTAATTAATTTATTACATCTTTTTTGCAAGATTATGTTCAAAAGTACGAGCATAATCATCAGTCATCAAAATATTATGTCTGTAATTCATATAACAATAAAGTCTAATTGGTTCTAGCATTACAACTTATCTGCATTGCACATTAATGTGATGGAGTAAATGCTTTTAAATTACAACTGTGAGGCATAGAGAAATAGTTAAAGTCATATGTGCATGTGAACATTTATGTCAAACGTATTATGTATTTATTATTATGTGCACTGATCGCATACTACGGCGATAAAATATGGAAGCGAGGATAAATTTCATTTCCCTTGATAATCCATCAAAATTCCACTGCTAGACATAGGCCTCCCCAGGTTGGGCTGGCAACTGCAGTATTTGTATTTTACTTAGCTTTTATCAGAAAAATGTCGCTACCAATCACCTGGTAGATAAACTTTTTTTTTTATAGAAGAGGGGGCAAACGAGCATGCGGCTCACCTGATGGTAAGTGACTACCGCCGCCCATGAACAACCGCAACAAAGGGGAATTGCAGATGCGTTGCCGGCCTTTTAGAAAGGTATAAGCTCTTTTCTTGAAGGTTCCTAAGTCGTATCGGTCTGGAAAATCACTGGTGGTAATTGATTCCACAAGGAAGTTGTGCGAGGGAGAAAACTTCTTCTAAATCGCACAGTGGTGGACCGCCAATCATGCAGATGGTATGGATGGTAACGCGAGTTTTGTCGCGATGTGCGATGGTGAAAACTTATACACCGCAGTAAATTTATGAATTTTGAATGTAAAATGAAACCATTGGATATTTTACAATGATGTGAATATTCAACTTTATGATACAAAATTCAATTTTAATATACAACACAATTTGCAGTGGATACAATGCTGCCAGGTGACACTGGCACCGTTAGGTTTATCCTGACCAATCATATATAATATAATACTGTATTTTTAATACTTATATAATAATTCCTATTTTTGTATTTTGCAAAATAGATAATGCAAAAAAAGCTATAGAAATATGTCATGGCTTAAAACTAGCAAGAGGGAAAAACAGCTAACCTACAAAGGTGGTCATAGTCCTCTAGTCATAGTACCGAAAACTATCTATTTTATACGAGATTCTCTTCAAATTGTCTAGTTTATTAATTTTATCATAAAAAGTCATAGAATCTGATTTGTATTTAATCAAAGAATATAAAAAAACTGTTTGAAAATAATAATTCCTTGCAATTGAAAAAAAAATCTGTTTAAACTATATGGCACAGAGTTGCCCCATGGCTGCAACATGCATTTATATCATCACTAGGACAATGTGATAGGATAGCATTAAAAAAATTGAGGTGGAAGTTTTGTGTAGTTCATGCACAGATTCCTCCTGGACTAACAAAAGTTATTTGAGCTATCACTGTTACCTAGTCCCTAATTATTCATATATGTGTAATGCAATTGTAGAGATAGTAGTTACAAAGACAAATGAAATATTTTTGGTTTCTAGGTAGGTCCTGGCTGTTCAGTCACAACATTAAGACTTCTTTCTTCGGCTACCTGCCACCTCTGAGCCATTTTCAAGTATGAATTTTCACTATATTCCACCTTGTGACATCATATTATTATGAGAGGTATTTCCATAACATTATGTTCAAACGCCACGTAATCGTCGCCGCCGAGACGATCTTGCCCTAGTTTGTTGTTGAATGGCAGTCAACATTATGTTGCTCTCTGAATCATCATTAGAACTTGACTCAGGAGCTGCAGGGATATATGAATTGCTATCGTCAACCTCTGGTGGTAATGAGGTGCCTTTACTATCCAATTGATCTGACAATAATTGCAATAATGTTATTATTTGTTTGCCCAAGATATTTGATGTAGTCAAATTCCAAAAATGAAAATCTTGACTTTGTTTTAATTGCAAATAATTTAAGAAGTTAGGGGTGAAACAAGATTTTGATATTGATAGATATTAAATTATATAATGATAAGACATTAAACTATGATATTGTGTCGAAGTCTAGAACCATTATGTCCAATTGTTAATTCATTCAAAAATCAAATGAAAAATTCAAAAAACTCAATGAGAAGGCTACAGTAATGAATGAATAGTCAATCAATAGTCAAAAATCATTATGCATCAAATGAACATAGGGGTCATTACATATGAATGTTATTTTTATTAATATTTTGTAGAAACTTATTATGTAAAAATACTTTTGTTTATAAAACAATCTTAATTCATTAAAAGTCATGAAATACAAATAATGACAAAATAATCAGTGCTGTAATTCAAATTCGGGTCAAAAGAGCCTTGCCGCTTTGCTAGTGTTAAGGAATAAATAGTGAAAACAATGTGTTTTTTATTTTTTTATACAATGCATTGTTATCATTCATTTCAAATAATAACTATATGTATAATTAATTTACATTAATAGTTGTTAAAAAAGTGCAATTTCAATTAATGTGACAAAATCATGGGCTCATAGTTGCAAGCTGCACTTCTATTTTTACTATTTTTATGGTTAAAATTTGAAATGTTAATTTTACATGATTTTGAGCTTTGTTTGAGTTGTTGGTTCTAGATATCTCACGTTGTTTAATTCAAATGAATATGCAAAATGAAGAGCTTACTTAAAGTAAGATATTTATTTATTATAGCATTCCTTAATCTAAAAGCATACAAAGGGCACTTTATGCCTTGAGGCATTCTCTACCACTCAACCTATAATAATGTTCATTATCATTAGTCCCTATTACATGCTCAACATTATACATATAGATATAATGATTCTTATTGATCTCAGTCATTTCAATATTTGAAAGAAGAAGTGAATGTTCTTGATACATGGATAATGAGAAGCAAAATTAAAATTTGATAAATATTTATCAATATTTTTAGCTGAAATATAATAAATACCCACAAAAACAAGCTTATTCAGATTTGAAAGATAACTTTTTTTTGTTGCAGTAACCCTTTTATATCATGTTGTATATTTCATTTTAAAGAAAACTGACTGTTGATTTTGGGATTACTTGCTATTTTTTAGAAGTCTTACATACTGTACAATTGCAAAACAAAGGAATCTCTGGATCATAATTTTGGCCAGTTTCTATAGGTTGGATTGTTTCTGCACATGGTCCACTGATTTCAGTACTAACAAACTACTGTTCTTATCCATACAAAGAAACTAGACGAGCACCAAGTAATTTTATTAACCTGTTTTGTGAAGAAATATTTATTAAATCTCAAGTTTTATGAAATAACTAATATACAATGTTAATTTTGTTTAACATTATATTTATTTGTCACTTATTTGAGTATAATGCATGATATAGATCCTTTCTACATATTATATAAATAGCTAGTTAAGCAATTAAATGTTTCTGTTCATTGAACACTAAAACAAAAATAGGTAATATTTTTGCACAATTTTATATATTTCTTCATGTGTATTGTAGTTTGATGGCATGTTGTAAGTAGCTAATTTAAATAAAAGATTTTCCAACCTACTATCACAGAAATCTATGACCAACATATTAATGAATGCAATAATATAAATCAACTACAGACTACAAATATTAATAACTATCAATCTGCCCCGGCTTTGCACGGATTATATTTGGATTTCGACGACAGCACCACCTACCAGTTCCAATTGAGTTTCAAACCATCCAGGGACCCACTCAAATACACACAAAAAATTAATCAAAATCAGTTGAGCCCTTTTCGAGTTTTTGCGAGACTAACAGACAGCAATTGATTTTTATATATAGAAAAGATACCTAATAATAAATAATAATAACAATATTATTTATTGATTAAACAAGCACTTATCTAATACTTGAATGTGTAACATAAAGGTAGTTTTGTTTGAGCAACAAACAAGTTTGAACATTAAGGCAGAGTGATTGTTTCCTAAGACTATAATATTGGTTTTATAATTAATTGTAAAGTAAAGAAAATTGATAACTAAAAGTGTATACTACAAGACTGTAATTTCTTGCATTTAAACTAGGCTTGTTTCTTCATCAAAATATTACATAAAATATATATTTGAAAGTTTTTCAAATTACTATTTTTAAAATAATATGCTAATGAGGTGCTTATAAAATTGTATGATTTAAGTTTAAATTTTAGAATTCAGCTCTTTTATTGTAAATAGATCTTCAATGTCATGGTAAGTTTGTAATTTAAGCCAAACTGTCAACTTTTATTTGCAGTTGCATATATTTAGCAGATGTATAATAATGATTTGGTTAATTTTTAACCCCAGACTAAAATTCAGGGGTGAATTAGGACATTATATATAAAAGGACCAATAAAATATTGAAACTTTCTAATAAAGTAGAGTAGCGATGTGTAACTCAGGAGTGATTTGTAAAAAAGATTTAAATCCATCAAATAAGATGTATATGTCAGTAACCCCCACGTTTACTCAATACATCTTTAAATCTTTACATCTATATTTCATTTTAGATTGATTGAAAAATGAAGATGTAGCGTGAGACACCTAATACAGGATTAGGTAACTCAAAACAAGACAGAATTATTGGTAAGTTTGCACATGCATACTGCTATTATCCCCTGTATCACACATTGAATCTCACTAGGAAACTAGCCTTGGTCAGTGTTAAATCAATTGTGAATTTATGATAATTCCAAAATTCTTTATTTGTTTTCTATTTTTTTTAAATGTAACTTGTGTGGTACATGTAATATGTAAACTGCTAATAATTGTTGCATTGTTTTTAGCTTTGATAATTGATTTGTACTTTTGTTTTTTTTTTTTTATATTGGACATGTTGTAATATTTATGTAAATAAAGTGCATCATTATTATTATTATATTGAGTCTAGTTAGATTACAATCAGAAGGAAATAAAATAATATATTGATTGATAAGATCTAAGATTGAATTACCTATGTAAAGTTTGCTTTATAAGTTCCACGGAGCAAATACAAAGAAGAGACAGCCTAAGCAACTGTGCACTGTGATTCTAACTAGGTCCTGACGTCATCACAATGGGCATGGCTTTAATGTTAGTATTCTGTCAGCATTCGTCCTGTGCGCTTATGTGTCGAAAAACTCAAATCGGTGTATTTTTTTAGGTGTAAAATACTACTCAGATAGACGATCTGATGCTATGGATGTCATCACATTTCATTTGTAAGTAATTTTATGCCTGATTTATTAAAATAGTTCTAGAAAAATCTGCATCGGCTTTTAAATATAATTAAATATATTCAACACTAGATGGGTGTCATGTGAACTAAAAATATAAAGGTAGTATCACTCACCCCACAAATTGTCACGTGTTGTTACATAGTGAAATCTAATTACAACACCTCTTTGTTTTTATCTCCCTTTCTCATATTTGCAATGCCTGAAAAAGGCTACTAAGTTGAGACAAATTTTTATTATTATAAGACCATTTTATGTACACTTGGTTGGCAAATAAAGATTGATTGATTGATTGATATTTGCTCCGTGAAAGTTCAAATCAATCATACTCAAACTGGAGAGTGATAAATAAAAAAATGCCGTGAGTGAGTGATCTAGTTGGATTAGAGTTATTTGAGATTTAGAGATTTCTAAGAGTAATTTAAATCTTCTTAACCAAAAGATTTATAAATCTCTTTTCCTTTGAAAGATTTATATTGCACATGACTGAAGACATTATTTGGACACACTTTGTACTTTATTTGTGTTTGGGGCTGTTTAGAGTTGTAAAAATCTGTATGTTGGGATAAAATAGTATTAACTGTGTACAGTTATCATACCGTCAGCACGTCCTACATAATATATTATGCTAAGGCAACAGATTTACCACCTAAGACCAGTTACTACCAGGTGTAATAATTATATTTATTTACATATCATAAAATGACTAATACTCAATATATACTTAACACATAATAAATCATTAAGAGCCTTACCTATTGATGAAACCATATCCACTCTTGACGTTAAACCATTTTACAGTGCCCGAAACCTTCTCAGCTGCAAAAATAAAATGAAAATATTGTTTAATATAGGCTTGTTAAGGTACCATAAAGTTAACAGTAACCATAGTATTGTTTGACAAAGGTAATCTTAAACGACCCGGGACTGTGTTAACATTTATAGTATATTACTTATAATTTAATAAAAATCATAAACTAATTGTAGTTATGGCGGCAATCTAAGCAGAAATATTGATTCAAACAAATTTTAATTTCGCTTGGACAAGAATTTGTCTGGAAGAACTGAATAATGATTAAAATATAAATATATCCTCAATGTGGCAGTGCAATTTCCAATACTACCATTAGGGTATCAAAATAAAATATTACAAATAATCATTAAAGCCATGTATACAAACCTAATGTTATTTGTTTATTTAATCAACAGAAAATAAAAACATACGCGCTAGCTGTCGCATTAGCATCTGCAAAAACCAACTTTAGAATCACAATAAGGATATTTTAAAATTTTAAGCGCAGATGCATTATAAAGCTAACCGCACTTTGTTCTTTTGCGCGGTATTGATTAATAAGCCCGCGCGATGCGGGAAGGCAGCCTCGGTCATCACACGATCAATAATGCATCGCGCCAGAACGCATATCAAAAAAAAATTAACAATATAAGTGTTTTTCGGTAATGGTATAATAATTAAACGTCAGAAATTATATTAAATAAGTCTAAAACGTATGAATCTATATTTTAGTAGCCATGCGGTTTCGATCGCCGAATGCCGGGCCACGCATAAAGTTAAGATGGCGTAGCACTTACCAATGACCTGCTTTTGTTTAGCGGCTTTAGCCGGTTGCGGTTGAGATGTTTGCTCTTGCTGGTCTTGCTGCTGTTGTGGTTGCGACTGCGGCGCCTTTTCGGTATCAGCCATGGTGTAATTGGCGAACGGCGATGGTGGCTAGATGGTAAATTCCTCCACGACCTCTCCTCGATGTTCACCGCTCTTCGATCGTTTCAAATGGACTGACGATTTGACAAACAAATGCGATTGCGATGCGTTCATCAGATTTATTTTTACTATGTTGGTATCGAGCATAGATTTTTTTTTATTTTGTTATGAACTCGTATGGTAATACTTTTGCCAAAGTCATTTATGAGAAATTATCCTTCTGAAATATTTAATTTAAATAATTTATTCATTATATCCTACTACGTCATATCGCGAAAATTTTGACGGCAGCTTGGGCCAGCAACAAATTGATGACGATAGTATCTCCAGCCGCCTTAACAGACAATAATCTGAGGCTTATATAGAGCACTTATTTCGTCGTTTACACTAATAGTTTGCATGCGTAACATTTAATACACAAAATAACATTCGTATTCCGTTTCAAAATCTACTTCAAATCATTATTTAAACGATAAAACAGGTGCAACAATCTGCTAGCGGTCAATTTTCCCCCAAAAACTGAGCATAGTTTTTTTTCTTTAGTATTGAACTCGCACGGTTGTGATTCTGCCAGCGTCAAGTATTACAAATTGTCCTTGTTACGCCCACTCTACTGTTATATGGTAATAATTATGGTCATACTAGGTGTAGCCACGATTTATATCCATAATTTTACAATGTCAATCAATAATACGGCAAATGACGGTAAGTAATAGCTCCAGTGATGGCCTTTTTCGCATATCAAAGACGATTACCGCGATAAATCGTGCGTCAAGTTGCTACACTACAGTTTGTTCAGAGTGTGAAATGATCTCAACGGAAATGAACGCCTTTCTGTGCATTTTTATCATCCACCATCTTCGTTTTATATCTTGGTTTAGCTTTGTTAAAATGTAAATGATTCTTGTAATAGTAACTGATACTAATAAAGTACAGACCACCTCAGCTTCAACCTCCAACTTGAAAAATTACATTTTTCCGCCTAGTTCATTGTCATATCTAGGTAAACCCTAGTGTAACCACACTACTTAACGCGGTAATTTAGGCATTAATTTAATGCCGTAATTATTGCGGTAAATGGGCGGTAGTCAGTAAGATAGTATGGCCGTAGCATATAATCATAGAGAAACACGGGCCGTCGTGTACCGGAAGCGGAGTAGCTATTGCGTGATTTTCCGATACCGAACTGTTTGTCATTTTTGCGGGTATAGAAATCTACGCCACGCACACTTACTCAGACTTAACACACAAACATAATTATTGTCTGTCACTACCATAGACTTAGAATATACTGGCGTATAGATGACCTGACAGCCTGAAAATGCGTGACAAATTATGATTTGTTATTACTCAAGAATATACAACCGAGGAGAATGAATTTATTTTGCATAATGTGTGTGTTTTAGTATGTGAAAGCTTCATAATTCATATTACCACCGTCCGCGGGGACACTACTATACAAGCGCACAGCTATGTGTGCAAAGGACAGAGTTAAGGCGTGCCACTGGCAGCGAAACGACAACGCGTGTGTTTAATTTTGTTTTTAAAGATGCCAACCTGTTGTGCTGTGTGTAGCAATATATTCTAATAATTCCTTTCGATAATTTTGTACAATTTATTGTATTTATGGACAAAAAGTCGAACATTTTTTTTAATACTCACCAGAAAATTACAAATCTTAGACAAGAAAAATATAAAGCATACAGATGATTGTACTTTTGAATTATGGGATCTTCTCAGTCACAGTGTCAGTCCGCCTGTCCATCCGTCCGTGCTCATTGCTGAATCCCGACTCGCATTTGCCCGGTTTTTTGATTTCAATAACCGAATGACAGCCCTATGAAAGTAGGTAAGAATTTTGAACTCTCTTATATGAAGCTTTCATTCTGCTCTCTTTTATATACCTAGTCAGGTCATAAATTCTGTCACATGTTTAATATAAAATAATTGAAACAAGTTTATTCATTATGTAACCATTTATATACCAAAATGAACTTAACAAAACATAGATTCTTATGACACTAAAGTTTATTCAAAATGACCTCCGTGATTTTGAATACAGGCCTTCAATCTACGCGGCCTGTCGTCTATCGCAGCACGAACGAGGTCCATGTCAATATCGGCGGCTGCCTTAATCAAGGATGTCTTGAGTGACTCCAAATTGGGATGACGCTTTGAGCACGCCTTTTCTTCCAAGTGTTGCCATATCTTGTAATGTAACGGATTCAAATCTGGACTGGAGGAGGGCCAGTCTTCGTGCCGGATGAAGTCGATTTCACGCGCCGCAAGCCAGTCTTGTGTGCTCTACGCTCTATGAGCTGGCGCCGAATCTTGTTGGAGTACCCAGTGCCTGTTATTGAACATGGTATGAGAAACAGGTTCCACAAGGTTCGTCAGGACTGTATTTTGATACACAACTGCATTCGTTTTTACACCTTTCTCACAAAAATGTACCTCTGTTAAGCCCCAATAAGAAACTCCCAACCATACCATGAGCGAGGATGGAAAATGACCACGTTGGACACGCGGAATACGGTTGCTCGCTTCTTCACTACTGTGTGCGTACACCTTATCATTTTGTTTGTTGTAGCTCTCTTCTACGGTAAAAATTTTTTCATCCGAAAAAAGAATTTCCCGATATTTTTTTCCCGCGTACCGCTTCAACAAAGCGCGGCATCTCTTCAGTCTCAGGTCCATTAGACGAGCATTCAAACGATGCCCTGTTTTTCTTCGATATGCCCGAAGCCCTAACTCTTCATTTAACACCCTTTTCACCGTGGTTTTGCTTAACCCTATCTGAAGGGCCAACAGTTTCTGCTTACGTTTGGGATTTCTTTGAATTCGCGCCTTCACAGCTTTTATCACTGCTGGAGTCCTAACAGACCGAGGGCGACCACTTCTTGACCTGTCATCTACACTAGAGTCTTTATTGTATCGTTTGATGGTACGATAAACGAATCTTTTGGTTATATTCAAATTTTTCAGTATGTCAAAAATTTGAATTGGCGCGTAACCGCAACGATGCAACGCAATAACTGCAACACGGTCTTCTCTAAGCGTCCACTCCATATTTAAAAATGAGTAAAATTCTAAAAAGTATACAGTTATATTTTCATGAACAATTCGCAATTCGAATTCAATAAACTTTTTTGTGGCCAGCATTCTAAAAGAAAAGTTTTTACTGTGTGACAATACTTATGACCTGACTAGGTATTTGTGTTCATTGTGAGCGTTAGCTAGTGATGTGCATTTTACTTAAAAGGACTATCCAAAAATGATTGTTAAGGAACCGGTGAAAAGATTTAAAAAAATAGTTTATTGCACCAAACTGAATAAATTTCTTACACTAAACTATTTTATTAAAAATTAACTAAATTTTTTGGTCAGCTTTCCATTGACGCCCGTCGAGTTGGGTGTTTATACGTATTTTTACAGAAAAGTTACACTATTATAAGCACACACACACAAAGTTTCAACATGCGGAAATGATAATTTTTGAGAAAAAAAAATATTTGAAAATCAATTATTCTTGCAATGTTTATGTCTAATCCTACCGAAAAAATGGCACCATTTTGTAATGTCATAATATAATTAAATTATATTCAAATAACATGTTCGCGGGAATAAGTTGCACCTATCTGCATTTGCCATCATCCACCACAGCCTATAAAAGTCCACTGCTGAACATAAGCCTTCCCCATAGGTTGCCTCACATGGGATTTTGCCATAGTTGACACCACGCAGCAAATACAAAGGTCATGTGTTGTAATTAGATTTCACTATGTAACAACGCATGAAAATTTAAGGGCTGAGGGGGTGTTAAGTCCCACACATTTAACAATTTCCATCTACCGATAAATAGTAAAACTACTCGCATCGTTCCATATCGATATTGTAATGTAGTTTAGCTACCTTGACGATAGATGGCAGCCTGTTCACGAAATGATCATGAAACTGTAAAAATAATATTTTGGCCATTAAAAATTCTTTAGGACTGAATGCTAAAGAAATTTCAGGACCTTCGTATGATTATTTTACCAATACTGAGCTCTACGTACCTTTATATTTTTTAGTTCCCATGACACAAAGTGCCGCCATGTAGTGTCAAATATATTTAATTATATTTGAAAGCTGATGCAGAGATTTTTCTAAAACTATTTTAATAAATGAGGTGTAAAATTGCTTACAAATGAAATGTGATGCCATCCATAGAATCAGAGCGTCTATCTGAGTAGTTTTTACACGATAAAACACAACACTTCATCCTTTTCTTCTTGATAACACGAAAATACATCGATTTGCGATTTTTGACACATAAGCGCACAGGACGAATGCTGACAGAATACCAACGTTAAAGCCACGCCCACTGTGATTACTTCAGGACCTAGTTAGAATTACTTAGGCCGTCTCCTCTTTGTATTTACTCCGTGATTGACATGCTTGGCGACGGGTCGTCAACTGCAGTTTTTTTTATAATTTTGAGTTGTTATTAAGAAAATGCTGCAGCCCATCACCTGTTTCAATTTCCCTCTGTCACCTTTTACGACACTCAATGATTTTGGGGACGATTGATTGAAAATTCTAATAATCTTTGAAGAGGTTAATCTACCGGTAAACTTAAACAATTTTCCCCAAGATTCAGATCGGAAAGTTGTATTTTTGAGCTATGACCTTTGGAGAAAAATATTTACAACCATGGACAGTTTCCCCGGAATTTCTTTTACAACATAAAGTTAATCAAATATAAATCGGTAGATACTTAATTAACTTACTATAACAATATTAAACTCATTGGTACAAATAATGTAGGCTCACTTTAATGAAATTGTTTTTATTCTGTTTTTTCTTTTATACTTGTCAAGAAAATGTTTGATACAAATTGTTTTCTAAATATAGAATCCAGAGGCAATCTGTTTGACCAATGGCAAAATAAAATTACGTTATTAGAACGCAAATCAACCACTTAATTTCATTCCTCTTTT